GTTCAGGATGGTCTGAAGCGGGGAGAGCCTGCACTGGGGTAGGCCGGTGAGGAGGGAGTTGCAGTAGGCGAGGCGTGAGATAATCAGGGAGTGTACTAGTAGTTTAGTGGTGTCTGGGGTAAGGAAGGAGCGTATCCTGGCGATGTTGCGAAGGTGGAGCCTTCATAGATCCCCTGAATGAATGAAGCAGGTAGATCCTTGCAATGCAGGTTTTCAGGCACTGCTCCCTCTCCAGCAAGGAGATCAGTGGACAGCACAGTAGTGACATCACCAACCCTCACTCCGAATCTAGTGAGACTAGCAGTCAGAGATGGCAGATGGTCTCATGTTGTAGATATCCAGTCAGGAGGCCGCAGAATAGAAGTGTCTAGGCACAACTATTTTTTTTAGAAGGATTTAAGACAAAAGCTTTCTAAGTGTATTGCTTAGACACAATAACATTTCTAGATGTTTTTTTTAAGACTGCATATCCTCACTGTTTGAGCTCAGGTCCTCTTTAGGATGATGGTGATTTGAAGAAACATGCAATTTTGTAGTTTTCTAAGAAAAATTGTAGATTTTAAGCAACTCAATCCTCAACAGACTGACATCCACAGAAGATGAGGGCAATAGTCCCAGGACTGGCCACACAACGATGACATCAAAAGTTTTGTCAAAAGTATATACTGTATACTGTAGTTCCAGACATGTACACATAAGCTCCGGCTGGGACTAAAGTCTTACGGAAGAGGAGGGTGCTGTACCAGGGAGATGTGTAGAAGCTGAGGGTGGTCACCTATGTGGAGTAAGGGGGGCGGCCCATCTCTTACATTCCTGTATGTGGTTTGTAATAGTCTACCATACAAGTATGGGACTGAAAGAGTGAGAAATTTGTCATTTCTGTTTGGAGATTAGTCTATTAAGCATTCTCAGAGGGTAGGTCAGTCAGGGTTATCGTGACTGCTGGGGTCAGGAGTAGCTGTCTGTATTTGGCGGAAAGTGTCAGTTGTTTGAAAATGGAGCCAGCAGGCCCACGTTTTTGTGAATTTGGAAGGGGAATCTTTGGCAATATGTATTAATCCCTCCATTTTGGCGACCCTGGAAATTCTTGTAACCCATTCTACAAGAGATGGGACTTTGGAGGAACCCTAGTGTAACCGTATTCATGCCTTGGCCGCATTGATCAAGTGCATCACAACTTGTGGTAGACCTTCAGGGGGAAGTACTGTGTGGTGTAGTAAGTACTGTGCTGGAGAGTAGGCTAGGGCTTCGGTTGTTACTTGGAGAATAATGGAATGGACATCGGACCAGAAAGGTTGGATCAGTGGACAATCCCACCACACATGTAGGAGTGTACCAGCCACTTGGTAGCATCTCCAACAGTGGTTGGGGAGGGAAGGAAGGATCAATTTTGTGTAGCAAAGCCAGAGTCCTGTACCACCTGGATAAGAGTTTATAATTCGTCTCCTGGATTGAGACACTGATCGAACCATTATGAGCAATATGGAAAATTTGCTCCCATGCTTCGAGGGTTACATCCATTTGAAGATCTCTGGACCAGGCAGCACAAGCATTCCCCGTATCTGTTGGTATATGCGCTCTCAGGAGATTGTGGATTATCCACTTCCCGACCGGCCGTTGCATATAAACGGCCGGACGGTGGCAGTGCAGGGTCGGGTGCAGGGTCGGGTGCCCTGGGAGCGCGCAGCAACATCGCGATCCGGTGCCTGCTGTGTCCTCCGGACACAGTGAAACACTGATCGTCGGACGGGACCTCTGTACGAGGTCCCGATCATGTGATCTCTGATTGGCCAATCGGTGATCACATGCAAAGTAGTAAGCAAGATGTCACTTGTGACATCATTGCTTACTACGTGTGAAATCTGTGAAATGATCACAGAGGTCACATGGTACAAGCCTATTCACAACAGCCTTGTACCATGTGACAAGCTGTGACCAATCACAGCTCACTCAGTACTTCTCAATGAGTGCAAGAATGTAGACAGAGAGAAAGAGAAATGATTGCTTTTACATCCTATATGGGTGTAAAAGCAATCAGTGTAAAAAAAAAATAAAAAATCTTCATCACCCCCCACAAGTAGTACAGTGTCACCATGGTGACACTGTACTGCTAGGGTAACAGTATGTAAAAAAAAAAAAAAAAAAAAATAAAATAAAAAATAATATAAAAAAATAAGATAAAAATGTAAAAAAAAAATGTTTAAAAATTATAATTTTTGGTTCTAAACTAATTTGGATTTTTTTTTTTTACTAAAAAGATAACGGAATAAATTTTGGCAAAGATTTATGATGAAATATTATTTATTTGCAAAATTTTATAAAAAAACACTTTTTTTTCAAAATTTTTGGACGTTTTCATTTACGTTGCAAAAAAAAATAAATATCCCAGCGGTGAATAAAATACCACCAAAATAAAGCTTTATCTGTCTCAAAAAAATGGTAAAAAATTCATTTGGGTACAGTGTTGCATGACCGCGCAATTGTCATTCAAAGTGTGATAGCGCTGAAAGCGCTGAAAGCTGAAAATTGCCCTGGTCAGGAAGGGGGTAAAAGTGTCCGGAATGGAAGTGGTTAATGATATGACGTGTTGCTGTGGGTTTGGCTTCGAGGAGATGTTTTCAAATGCTGCGAGTGGCCTAGACAGCGTTGCTGTAGGGTGTGAAGTTGTAAGAAAGTGAGGAAGCTGGAGATATGTCCAGGGTCTACAACATGCTTCAGGCTGACGTGAAGCCACTTGGTCCTGTCCCAGTAGAACTCCTGTGTCAAAGAATTAGTGTACCCGCAGGACTTCATTTGATTCTGCCCCTGATAGAGAGGGGACATCCCTGTTATGAACTCAGGGTTCATCCAGACAAGTGCCATGGAACCCAGGAATGAGGAGATCCCAGTTTTTTTTTACAGGCCTGATGAAAACAGAGTATGGTTGGTCCTATAAGCGGATGGTTCTGTAGTTCAGTGGGGAGATGTTTTCTTGTGAGCCATGGAAGGGCTTTCAGTGGTGTAGTCGAGAAAGATGCATCTAGGTGTACCCAGTCTTTTACCCCGCAGTATGTGCGTCCAACAGTCCCCAGTTCTGACAATCAAATCAGAATCTCTGTGAATCCCCAAAGAAAAGTAAATCTTTCACCCTTGAAAGTACAAATATCATAAACCTTTTCTATAAACCTTCCCCAAAAACTCAAATCCTACCCCTCCTTCCCAATATATCAAAAATGTCCACAATACAAAATCCAAAATTGTCCACACTATCCAATCTTCCAGCTGTGATAAATATCCGATTCGTCACTCCAATCCAAGATACCTCAAAAAAATAAACTAAATATAGTGCATTATCTTTCAAAATATCATATTATGTGAAATCATGCAAAAACACTAGTGATGTAAAACATAATATAAGCAATAATATAGATCAACACGTGAAATAAAATCCACACAGCTCCACTAGTGATATTGTGAAATAATCACTTCAATAAATGAAATACACCAATCCAAAGTATGTAGCCAGTGAAAAAGTGTACAGGACCAGATAAGTGCCACCACTCTGCAATAGGATAACATGCTATTACCCTCTTTTAGCTTGCACAGGCGTTTCACAAATCCCCATATGCCAGATGGCTTTCCTCTTATGGGAGTATGCAGTGGGATCCCCTGTTCTTCACAGGCAGTGGGCAGTGGGGTCCCCCGTTCCTCACAGGGCAGAGAAGAGAAAACTCAGTGGAGTATATATATGAAAATCACAAATTTATTATCCGCTTACATTTAATGAAAAACCGTCCATCCTATGCTGAAAACCATATCCAAGATGGCTGCGCTGCTCCTTCCGGTTTTGCGTCTGACGTCACGACTCTGACGCGTTTCGTCACTTCCGACTTTTTCTCAAGGGAAGGAAGGATCACAGTGGTCAGTCCCCAGTTCTGCATGGGTGGCACACCCAGTAGTAGTAGTTGAGATCTGGGAGACCTATTCATTTTTTTTTTTTTTTTTTTTTTTTTAAATTTAATCCTAGAGTTCAGCTTTAAATACATTGACTTGTTGTCCGTGGATGCGGCAATTAGATTGCAGTATACGTAACCAGCTTTACGTCTATGGAGAGACTAAGCCAAGCATTACCTAGAAAAGTATTCCCACATTGATGCATTGTTATCTTCCAGTATCCTCCTGCTTGTCAGTACGGCCTACTGAAGCACAATCTTTCCCAAACAGACTCTTGAAGGTTTATAGACCATGGCGGTTTAGTCCGTATCATTAGCGTTCACCAGGTCTCAGGAGAGGCCTATTCATATATATATATATATATATATATATATATATATATATATATATAATTACCCAAAAATGAGATCGAATCTGCAGCCTTAAATAAATACTAATGAGTTTCTAACTTTCCGGAGTACGCCGGGACTGCTGGAATTGACTATTTAAGGATTATTATGTGGCTCCTCGGGGTGGAAGACTCTTAAAACAATTTACTTTCCACTTTTTTAATGTAGCGTTAAGCGGTCTTCCCCAGGTAGTTGTCTGTTTTTGCAGCTGCTTCTCTATTCTTGTTTTTTTTATGTATTGGAGAGAAACTGTAATTTGCCAGGAAAGATGTTAAACAGCCCTTTTGTGATCTCTTGTTTTTAGTACAATTTCCGAGATCGGGGAAGTCTGACCTTCGAACCTATTACGCTGGTTCCTATACAGAGCAAAATGATCAACGTTGACCTACTGACACAGAAAGAGGTAAGTGGCCGATGTCATAGGACGCTGTGTAAAGGGTAACAGACCTCTGTTTATTTCTACACATAGCAGCTGCAGGTAGGAAGACAGACAAATAGAGTGATGTACAGACAGATGGGGACAGGTAGATGAATAGAGTGATGTACTGATAAATGGATGGATAGAAATACAGACAGATGGAGGGATAGACTGATATGGACTGATGGGTATATAGATGGAGGAATAGACAAATCGACTGATGGGTAGATAGGTGGAGGGATAGACAAATAGACTGATATGGACTGATGGGCAGATATATGGATGGGCTGATGGGCAGATAGATGGAGGGATAGATAAATAGACTGATACGGACGGATGGTAGATAGATGGATGCAGGGGCGGACTGACAACTCATGGGGCCCCCCGGGGCAATAGGGGATCATGGGGCCCCTGTGTCCTTGCCCAAACTATAAAAAAGGTACCAGGGGCATCTCATGGGGCCCCCTACTGACCCTGGGCCCCCCTACTGACCCTGGGCCCTCGGGCAGTGCCCGAGTTTCCAAATGGTCAGTCCGTCCCTGGATGGACTGATGGGCAGATGGATGGGTAGATGGATGGATGGACTGATGGGTAGATGGATGGACTGATGGGCAGATAGATGGGTAGATGGATGGACTGCGGGGCAGATGGGTAGATAGATGGATGGGCGGGTAGATGGACTGATGGGTAGGGCAGCACAGTGGCTAAATGGTTAGCACTTCCACCTGGCAGTACTAGGGTCGTTGGTTCCAATCCCAGCCACGGCACCACCTGCCTAGAGTTTGCATGTTCTCCCTGTGTGCTGTGTGGGTTTTCTCCGGGTACTATGGTTTCCTCCCACCTCCAAAGACATGCTGGTAGGTGAATTGGCTCCTGTCTAAAAAATTGACCCTAATATGTGTATGTATGAATGTAAGTTAGGGACTTTAGATTGTACGCCCCTTGAGGGTTAGGGACTGATGTGAATGTACAATATATATGTAAAGTGCTGCGTAAATTGACGGCGCTATATAAGTACCTGAAATAAAAATAGATGGACTGATGGGTAGATGGATAGATGGACTGATGGGCAGATGGATGGATGGACTGATGGGCAGATGGATGGATGGACTGATGGGCAGATGGATGGATGGACTGATGGGCAGATGGATGGATGGACTGATGGGCAGATGGATGGATGGACTGATGGGCAGATGGATGGATGGACTGATGGGCAGATGGATGGATGGACTGATGGGCAGATGGATGGATGGACTGATGGGCAGATGGACGGATGGACTGATGGGCAGATGGACGGATGGGCGGATGGGCGGATGGGCGGATGGGCTGATGGGCGGATGGGCTGATGGGCGGATGGGCGGATGGACGGACGGATGGGGAGATGGACGGACGGATGGGGAGATGGACGGACGGATGGGGAGATGGACGGACGGATGGGGAGACGGATGGGGACGGACGGACGGATGGGGAGATGGACGGACGGATGGGGAGATGGACGGACGGATGGGGAGATGGACGGACGGATGGGGAGATGGACGGACGGATGGGGGAGATGGACGGACGGATGGGGCAGATGGACGGACGGATGGGCAGATGGACGGACGGATGGGCAGATGGACGGACGGATGGGGAGATGGACGGATGGGCAGATGACGGGCAGATGGGCAGATGGACGGGCAGATGGGCAGGATGGAGATGGACGGGCAGATGGATGGATGGACTGATGGGCAGATGGATAGATAGATGGATGAATGGACTGACTGATGGACAGAGGATGAATGGACTGATTGTTGACAGATAAACTAATAGGCTGATAGATGGTTAGACCAACCTATGGACGCAGGGAGATGGACGCAGGGAGATGGACGCAGGGACACTAACAGACAGACATGAGGTGTAATGCAGTCCTGAGCAATGTGCTGCCCCAGGACCACATCTGGCCCTCGATGCCTTCACCGTCAGCATGTCTCTCTGGGCCTGTCAGCTTCCTCACTGAGGAGAAGGTGTCATGTTGCCTTTTCACCACCCGATTTAACTCCATAATGCCGCACTACGATTCTTCATCCCATGCATTGTATGTGGTTACGAAGCGGTCCAATTGAACACCGAGTTAAAAATGCCGGGGCATGTGACCAGCCCCATCCAGATGTTAGTTTACAGTCTGGATGGGTGTCTAAGGGGCAGTAAAATCAGCCAGCTGTTTTTACCACCCCCAACCACCTGTTTGGAAGAGACCTTAGTTCACGAGCAGTTACCGATTATTGTTCTTTGTTCTAGGTGTTCGTTTTATATGTTTACATACTTCTAGATCTTTCCAGGTCCAGAATTAATACTGAGCAGAATTAAGTTCAGTCCTCCACAACAGTCCCAGTTCCTCATGTGGCCCCTTGGGAAAATGAATTGCTCTCCCCTGGTTTATTGAATACAAGACTCCTAGACAAATGGATGTGAGAAGTTGCAGGGACACAGTAGTAAGGGGTTAGGCCCCCTCCGGGGTGAAACGCGTTGGAGGAGGAACGGGGTGTGGTGGGTGAGATTTCTTGTATTGTGCAGCTCTCTATAGCCAAAAACAATTGTGACAAAACAGAGGACAGAGTGTTGCAGCTTCTTTTGCTTTCAGAAAGGACAAATTGATTGACAAAGGGGTGCTAGAAGGACAGATAAACTGATGCAGAGAGATGGATAGACAGACAGACAGACTGATAGACATCAGGATGGAGGGAGATGGAGGGATAGAAAAATGAATTGTGGAGTTTCTTTAAAGGTTTTGTTTTATTTAAATTCAGATATTTATTCAACTATTTTAATGTGGTTGTAGACTCTTGCATATACCCAGTGCAGTGACTGGCCTCATGTGATACACAGAGATGAAATCAATCCTCTTACATAAGTTGTACCTGTTTATCTGCAGTCTTCACTTCTCTGCAGTCTTCACTTCTCTGCATTGGTTCAAAGTGCTGAATTTACACTGGATCTCTCTGCTCTGAATAGCAGGGGGCGGGGAGCTGAAGTTACAATCAGTGAGAAGAGCTCTAAATGCTGATTGGATATTAAGGGACAATGCACAGTATTTTTTTTAATTCCAGAGTTTAAATAGTTTTTTCTTGTTTACAAAAACTTAATTTTACTAATTTCATACAAGGTGTCATCCGTATAAAGAAATGTTGCATTATGAGTTTTCTATACAGAGAGCAGTAGCATTCATTTTTCATTTGACTTTCTAATTGAAACTGTATAGGGATCTCTCCCTATACAGTTTCAATTAGAAAGTCAAATGAAAAATGAAAGCTACTGCTCTCTGTACATCAGGGAGTACATCACTTTTTTGATTTTTCAGCTCTACGTGTAACCTGAGCTTCAGCTATTGAACTCTGTAAGCAGACTTTTTTTTTTTTTTTTTTGTCAGCAACACAGTTATGCTTAGCCTGGTAAATATGTGAAAATGATCTTAGAGCGCTATCTGCTGGTTGCAAACAGTAAATACAAAATGTATAAAGCATTTCATATTGACGTCATATTAAAATATATGTATTTAATGCATTTCAGTTGTTAACCCTGAACATATTAAGCACATGCAGGAAGACCATCTACGCTCCTTTTAACACCTCAGTCGTCCTTTGTTGCTTTTCAGGTGGAGTGGTTGAATGGTTACCATAAGAAGTGCCGGGACGTAGTCGGCGCCGAGCTGGAGATGCAAGGACGCCACGAGGCCCTCCAATGGCTGATCAAGGAAACGCAGCCCGTCTGCAAATCCCATTAACCCTTTTCTAAAGTATTTCTTTTTTTACTTCGGCGGTGTCATTTTTGTGCAGCACACCCTGGCACTTCCGTTGCCTGTGCCAAGGCGTGGAGTCCAAGCCCTACAGCCGGGTCTTTTATGTGGCACATTTAATGGCGTGTTTTAAGAGCGTGCTGAGCGGAAGGGCAGATGACAATTGAACCCGGAATGACGTAATGATCTGGAATTTATACACAAGAATCGCAGTGCAGACAATTAAATGAAAGCAAATCATTTCTGTGTTCTCTTTTATTGATTATTTTTGGGAGGAACTGAATACAATAGAAGGTAATGAGCATCAGCCTACCCACTACTGTGTGCTCAGGGGAAATCCCGTGTGCTGCCGCTCAGCGGAAATCCCGTGTGCTGCCGCTCAGCGGAAATCCCGTGTGCTGCCGCTCAGCGGAAATCCCGTGTGCTGCCGCTCAGCGGAAATCCCGTGTGCTGCCGCTCAGCGGAAATCCCGTGTGCTGCCGCTCAGCGGAAATCCCGTGTGCTGCCGCTCAGCGGAAATCCCATGTGCTGGGGTGTCAGAAGGCAGAAATCCCGTGTGCTGCCGCTCAGCGGAAATCCTGTGTACTGGGGTGTCAGAAGGCAGAAATCTGGTGTGCTGCCGCTCAAAATCCTGTGTACTGGGGTGTCAGAAGGCAGAAATCCCGGTGTGCTGCCGCTCATGGGAAATCCTGTGTACTGGGGTGTCAGAAGGCAGAAATCCGGTGTGCTGCCGCTCATGGGAAATCCTGTGTACTGGGGTGTCAGAAGGCAGAAATCCGGTGTGCTGCCGCTCATTGGAAATCCTGTGTACTGGGGTGTCAGAAGGCAGAAATCACTCCTATGACAATACACACAACTAATGCAGGCCATAGATGGGTCGTTTATTGGCCGATTTTCATCCGCACGAAAAACTGGCCAATATTCACGCCATTAGTGGGGCCGTTTTTCGTGGATCGTCTCGTTGACTTTTATCGGTCATGCTGGAGAATCCACGAAAAACGGCTGTTTTTTCGTGGACGATGGTGGCAGCAATGTCGCCGACCGATTTTTCGTTTTTCGGCTGAGAGATCTATCTGCACCCATGTGACAGCGGTGAGCCAAATCACCAAGAACTAGTGCTGTCCCAAGAGGGAAGAGGGAGAGTAAGTCACATGACCCCCCCCCATTCCTGGAAGTATTAGATGTTTCTCCTCACTCCCAGCAGAGCAGCACAGAGGCAGTGAGTACATGTGGGAATGGTGACAATTAAAATAAGTATCTCAAGCTATTTGTTTTTTAAAATCTGACTATATTTGCCTTCTTTGGTTCCTCCTTTCTCCCACAATCAACATGCCAATATAATTTTTAAACAAAACCTTTTGTTTTCCTAACACACTTTATTTTAGACTATTTTAGATGTCATCACTGGGTCTCTGTGCTTCACTATGCAATGTAGGTATATCGTGGCTGGTGGGAGGGGCTGGCCAGGGTGCTGTACATAGCTTCCTGAAAACATCACAGCACCCTGCCTCAGTGCTCCTCTCAAGAGCCCTCAGCCCTGAGGCAAGCAATGGGAGGAGTTATGCAAATATAAAAATGCCTTGATGGGCGTACTTCAGTCTGGAGGAATGGGTGTTTCTAGGCAGACTGTATATTCATGCAGATTGTTCATATGAGCTGAGCTTCCATGACTGAAAGTTCTGAAATCCACTGAATGAAAGGGGCGGGTCAGGGACATTCAGGCTGGGAAGGAAAGGGCGTGGCATCTTAGGCACTCCAACATTTTTGAACCCATGAATTATTGCAAGACTCTG